AAAAGTTTTTGCACAAAAAAAGAAACAATCAGTGAAATTAAAAGGCAGTCTACAGAATGGAAGAAGGTATTTGCAAATGACATATTGGATAAAGGGTTAGCCTCCAAAATCTGTAAAGAACTTATAAAACTCAACATCCAAAAAAAATTACTTACCTTTCCTGTTAGATTATTTTCCTGTGGAACATTTATCAAAATTATTGACCAAGGGTGCCTCTGTGTCAGTTTATTAATTCCTAATAAAATTGAGCGATTTCACTTTTTTCTTTGGTTCTTCTGCAATCCTACCTTTGTGTTTTCTTCTTAAGTGTTTTGTTTCTTATGTAAAAGTGGAAAATGAAGATGTTACTGGAAAGCATGGAGACAATAAAGATCATCCAAAATGCCATCAAAATGAGTATTTCCAGACATCTGTGTGTGCTTGCCAGATAATTTTATGTAAATGAGATAAACAATGTTATTTTTGATGGAAGGCAGAGTAATCTAGCAGAAAGACATTCAGGTGTAAATCCCATCCCAGCTCTTTTATTTTCAAGAATTTATTTATTTTAGAGAGAAAAAGAGAGCGCGTGCACATGCACAAATGCAAGTGGGGAGAGGGGCAGAGAGAGAGAATCTTCAAGCAGATTCCCTGCTGACCATGGAATCTGATGAGGGGCTTGATCCCACAACCCATGAGATCATGACCTGAGCAGAAACCGAGAGTTGTATGCTCAACCAACTGAGTCACCCAGGTGCCCCTCCCGCTCTGCCTTCACTGATCATGAGACCTTGAGCGTGTACTTATCTTTCCCTCTGTGTATTAAAAGAAGGGCTAATAATACCTATCTCTTGGGGTTTTGAGAGAAATTAAGTACTCAATAAATGTGTTTATTTTCCCTTTTTTCTTAATCTTTGACCTTGATATTGGAGGGCTTTCCTAGAGTTCATTACTAAACAACTCTTGTTTATCTCATAGTATTTGACTACAAGTATCTGGAGCAAAGAGACCATATCTTATTAAATTTTGATGACCAGCACCCAAACTTTAGGGGTTTAATATGTTTGCTAAATAAATGAGGTCCTCAAAGAAGAGTTTCCCTGTGGACTTCTATTTGGAATGGGTGACTCTGGGTTCATTTAATTAAACTGCATCTCATATCCTATTTGCCATCTTTATTCTTAAGCTTGCCTATATTTTCTCCTAGTTTCAATTAAAAATGCAGCTAAATCGGGGTGCCTGGGTGGCTCAGTTGGTTAAGCGTCTGATTATTTTTTTTTAAAGAATTTTATTTTATTTTTTATTTTAAAAAATTTTATTTATTTGAGAGAGAGAGAGAGAGAACACAATGGGGAGGGGCAGAGGAAGAGGGAGAAGGAGACTCCCCACTGAGCAGGGAGCCCAACATGGGGCTCAATCCTGGGACTGCAGAATCATGACCTTAGCCAAAGGCAGACTATTAAACAACTGAGCAACCCCGGTGCCCCTAAGCGTTTAATTCTTGATTTTGGCTTGGTTCATGGTCATGAGATCCAGCCCCAAGTTGAGCTCTGCACTCAGCAGGAAGCCTGCTTGAGATTCTTTCTCCCTCTCCCTTTGCCCCTCCCCCTGCTCTTGCAGGCACTCTCTCCCTAATAAATAAATAAATCTTAAAAAAAAAAAAATGCAGCTAAGTGATTTTAAGCAAGTCACTTACTGTAGTGTAGTTTCCTCATTTATAAAAACAGAATAAGTTTCATACTAGTACTTCCTAAACTTCATAAACATGATAGTACTTCCTAACTGCAAACTGCTATACAAATTTGTTATTACTACAGAAGTTAGCTCATTGTGCATTTTAATTCATAATTATTATCTTGGGGACACACTCATCAACCTCTTTTTTTCCTACTATACTACCTGTTCTGTACCACCCAGCTTTCCTACATTTAACTTTTTCTAATCCTTTGGTTTATTGTTACTGTGGCTCAGAATCACTGATCTCTGCAAGGGAGCATTTGATGAGCCCTGGAGGAAACCAAACTAGAGATATGTTCACAACAAGTCACACACAGTTCAAGATGTAAGGCTTAGACTTCAAGATAAAGCAAGACAGACCAGCAGAGGTGAGGACCGCATTTGAGAGAAGTATGGAGTATAGGCTAGGAACAGGAGACCTGATTCCTGGCTCTGTTACTTTAGCTAATTGACTTCAGGTAAGTTAGTAAACCTTTCTGGCCCTACATTTTCCTATCTGAAAAGTGGAGGTGGTAACAGTACTTACATCATAGTATTATAAATTTGATATAATATGTGTGAAGCACTTAAGAACAGTGCCTGGCACATTGTAAACACTCAGTAAATATCAACTATTATAATTATTATAAACTGATCAGTGGTTGACAACAGGTGGAAGGTAAAGCAAGAGTTTGGAAGTTCAGAGATACACTGAATGTTAATTTCAGCCGTTCTGTATTTTCTCATTAACTTCTCCCTTCTTAAGCCCTTCTAGACTGAAATACTTCTTTTCCTTAAAATTTCCCTGAGTCAGATTTTTTTAACAGCATCAGTTCAAAATATTTGAAGGCAGTAACAGTAAGGCTACTAATCAAACTTAAGTCTGACTATTTTTCTACTTTATTGTATATAGAAGAACAGCCATGTTTCCAATTTGTATAATCTAAACATTTGTTATTCACTTTTCCTACTGGTATAACTGGAAGTAGGGGTATGGAGTAAAGAGGAAGGCAGGATTTAAAGCTTTGCTTCACAACATTTTAGGTGCTAGAGGCAAAGGTCTTTCATAATGCCATGGAGAGACATTACCTGACAAAGTTGCCATGCACTGAGTTTACTTTTAACATTCTTTATCCATTTCTGTGACATCCAGAGACCTTATGTTTTCTTTTAACTGCAAAGAACAAGAGCCTCTATTGGCTATAAAACCTATGCTCAGGTTTGACATTACAAATTGCATGCCGGCCATGTCTATTCCTGGTTGTTTTTAGTTTGGCCTGCAGGGTTCTGAATATCGGTTGCCAATACTTAAAAATCCGAAGATTTCACACAAAAATCCAGCTTTAGGGTTTCTCTTGGGGGGAAAAAACCATATATCTCAGAACAATGGACCCACATTCTTGTGAGCAACAATCTGCTAGTGCTTAACAGCTGCTCCTTTCAGTTACAGCACGGACACTAATTTGTCACATTTCTTATTATTCTCCATTGTTTTATACCAGGCCAGTTTCATTCATTTGCTTTATTTTTCTGCCCGCCCGCTCCCCGTAGATTTGAGTCTGCAAACCCTACCTAGACTTTTCCTGTCTCCCATCAAAGCTTACTTTGTTCCAAGTCCCTCACAAGTTTTTCAAAGCAATAGCTAAGTAATCTGATCAACTATGAGTATTTTTACATGTGCTTTCTGGAGATAGTATCTTCATAAAAAGGATGACTCTGCAGGTGGAAATTACAGGCACCACGGGATTACAGTCAGGATGGCAACTGTCCATTCTACTTTTTCTGCTATCCTGGCTTATCCATACCTCACTGTCCTCAGGCAAACCTAAGGAATTGGTTCTCAGTAGAACAATGAACACCGGCCTATGTGAGAAACCTGCTTAACTAGTACTTTTATTTATAGACTGTCCTAGTTCCAAAGGACCGAAAGCTATGGGCTATTCTGACTCCCCGTTTCCTCGGAGGCTTCAGGATATCCGGCCTGACGGCATTTCCCCATACCTGTTTTCGGGGCTCACTTTGCGCTGGGCAGTCGCGCCCAAGGAGCGCGCGCATTCAGCATGAGCTCATTTCTCAGGGGCGTTTCCAGAAGGCCCGGCCTGGCTGCGCACACCAGGCGCAATCGGCCTCACTTTGTCAATGGCCACCGCTGCTGGGCAGCGCGCGAGGGCCCGTAGGCGCTGCCTCTCTAGAAGCTTTGTTCTACTTTAGCGTCTGAGAGTTCGCACCCGACTGGGTAGGCGGCTCTGGACCCGTCTGGCCCTTTCGGGGAAGACGCTGGTTCTTCCGACGCGCTATCCCGGGCGGAGGGAAGGCTCCAGCGCGCAATTTTAGCCGCGTCGGGCCGAGAGACTCTTGGTGGGTGGGGAGAGCCCCTCTAAACTCTCTGTTCGCTTGAGCGCTCCGAGCCCAGCGCCGCTGACCGCAGCAGTTTCGGACCGGCTGCGCAGAGTGCCCGCGCTCCCTATCTGCGGTTTCCACAACGGCTGACAGAAGCCGCAGACAAGCCCATCACACGGTCCGCCACGACCCCACTAGCGAGGCTCTCCGCTCTTGGGACCGCCGCCGGAGGGGGAAGGCCAATCACACCGCATCTAGGTCTTGCGATTGGACGGCACTGAGTGCTGATTGGCTGCCGCTACGGGTTTCAGCCTCCCTCCTTTTCCCTTTTGCCCCCACTCCAGTTCCAAAGCTTCAAGCCAATGAAAAGGCGCTTTATAGACGCCCTCCCTTTTCTTTCTTCTTCTCCCCACCTTGGCGAGGGAGGAGACGTTCTGACTGGCCATCCAGTCCTCGGAAGCCCCCCTCGCTTCACCAATCACTGAGGGAGGTACACTCCCAGCGGAGTTTTCGGCCAATTACAAGGCGGCCGCGGCGCCCAGCCGTGCTGTTTCACCAGTGACTCCGGGTTTCACTGTCCTTAACTCTTCAAGCTTTTTCGTGAGGGCCGGCCACTGTGATTGGCCACTGCTGCCATTGTCGAATTTCTCCTCTAGCCAGCCATGGAATGAGAACCCACCTTCTTCTCGTTCGGCTATCTTCGGCATTTTCCGCTTTTTTGGGCGTGGATTTCTAGGGACACTTTCTAATTGGTTTCTCGGGTCGATCGGCTTTTTCCGGGAGGAGTCGCAAACAATCGACGTCCGTGATTGGCTCTTCTCCGGCTTCGGCTCCCCAGCCGAAGCGGGCGGGCGCGGACCTCGGCCGGCGATTCCCAGACGCCTGTTACGCGGGTAGCGGGGCGCTGGGCGGTGTAAGGCTGGGTGGGGGAGGAAGGAGGCGGAGGACGAGTAGGAGGGGGGAGGGGGAGTGGGGAAGAGCTAGGCGGCTGCGCAGACGGCGCTCCTCACACAGAGCAGCCCCCGACCCGGGCGAATGCAGGCTTGTGCTGCCGCCGCCACCACCGCCGCCGCCGCCGCCCGGGCCGAGTGACAAAGGAAGGAAGGAAGGAAGCGAGGAGGAGCCGGCCCCGCAGCCGCTGACAGGGCTCCGGGCTGGGGGCAAAGCGCGGACACTTCCTGAGCGGGCACCGAGCAGAGGCGAGGGGCGGGAGGGCGGCCGCGCTGGTGCCGCGGACGGGGGAGGGGGCCCCAAGGGACGGAAGCGGTTGCCGGGTTCCCATGTCCCCGGCGTATGGGGAGCAGTCGAGGATCCGCTGCCTGGGGTCTGAAGGGAGCTGCCTCCGCCACAGCCGCCGCCATGGCCGCTGGATCCAGCCGCCGCTTGCAGCTGCTCCTGGCGCAATGAGAAGAGGAGCCGCCGCCACCGCCCGCCTCTGACTGACTCGCGACTCTGCCTCCATCCAGTTCGCCGGGCCCCCGCCGTCAGCCCGCCGGATCCCGCCGCTGCCGGAGCCGCAGCGTTTCCCGTCGCATCTCCGAGCCACCCCCTCCCTCTCCCTCCCTCCTTCCCATCCCCCTTCTTTTCAAGCGTGAGACTCGTGATCCTTCCGCCGCTTCCCTTCTTCATTGACTCGGAAAAAAAATCCCCGAGGAAAATATAATATTCAAAGTACTTATTTTCAATCAAGTATTTGCCCCCGTTTCACGTGATATATTTTTTTTTAAGACTCTCCCCTTCCTTTTTCCCCTCCAAGGAAGGGGAGGGGAAAGAATTGTATTTTTTTTTCCAGCCCCAAATCATCTATATGTTAAATATCCATACTGATCTGTCTTGAAGGAGAAATACATCGCTCGTTTTTTTTTATAGCTGTACAAAAGGAGTGAAAAGCCAAGAGGACGAAGTCTTTTTTTTTTTTTAAATCTTCTTGTGGGAGAACTTAATGCTGCATTTATCATTAACCTAACACCCCAACATAAAACAAAAGGAAGACAAGGAGGAAGGAAGGAAAAGAGGGTGATCCGGGAAGAGAGTGATCATGTCAGGGCGGCCCAGAACCACCTCCTTTGCGGAGAGCTGCAAGCCAGTGCAGCAGCCTTCAGCTTTTGGCAGCATGAAAGTTAGCAGTGAGTATTGATTTTATTTTACACCCCTTCTCCACCTCACCCTTAAGATAAAAAGCCTTTACTAACCAGGATCTTAAAATATTAAACCTCCTGCTAATAATAATCAGAGGTGGTGGAAAAGGGCAAAAACCTGTCTCAGTCAAGGATGAGGCAGCTCCCTCTTTCCTCCTCCCATATCACCTCCCCCGGTCTCATTAACCTTGAATTGAGAGAATATGCTTTTTGTTTGGATGATTTGATTTGAAACTTGTTTCTTTTCTTATACTTTTTGTGCTGTTGGTAGTCAGCTTTATCAAGTGCTTGAGTATTTCCATGTTAAAATAGTGATGAAAGTATTTACTTGCTCATCCTTTCGAATAAAGAGAAGGACAAGACGATTCAAATCGTTATGTACATTTGCAGAGTATGTGTCTTTTGAAATGAGGGTTATTTTATTTGGCTCAGGTCTCAGGGGTTATCATAGTTTTGTATACTTGCTAGAAAGACTAAATGTCACAGTCTCCTAACATTTGTTTCTTGCCTGTGTGATTACAAAGTATTTGTTCTTAATCCAGAGATGAACTTGGTCAGTACCTAGCATTCACGTTTGGAGGGGAGCCTTGAGTTCTCCCTTTAGAAAGGGTCGGTGGGAGCTGGTAGACCCAGTAGCAGTAGTATCGCTACAGGCATTGTTTTAATTGGACACATGATTTAATGTCATCTCTTAACCTTCCCGTTTTGACATTACCAATTTACCACTATATAATTTATGTATAATCAAAAGGTAACTTGGAAGTAGGTCCAAGTTTTGATTGAGGTTTGTATTGTCATGTTGCCAGATACTAAGTTGAATGTTAATTGTCACTGACTCATCATTAAGTTCAGTTTTGGGGTGCCATCGCATTCAGCACTTGTTAAATGATCTAGAGTTCAAGGGTCCCTTCTTAGGACTATTTAAAATACTCTTGCATTGGTTTCCTGCCACATTGAGATAAAACTATGGGTTTAGTTATAACAATATGGATTTAGACCTTTCTGTCATAGCTTTTGCAGAAGGCTGTAGTCCTGAATATAATAGGGATATTTGAGCTTGTGTTTAGGGTTGTTGCTAGAATGTACTTTTGTACCACATTTGTGCTAAATAGCCTGTGTTCTTGAGGTGTTTGGTATACTAAGTATCTGCTCTTCCAAAGTATCTGTATTTGTAGATATGTTTATGTGGTATTTAGTGACAGCTTATTTAAACCATACTTGCAGAATTTGACAAAACTATCTACATTGTTTCCTTATTCCTCGAGAAAAGGGCACAGTGACGGCAAAGAAAAACTATTTTGTTGCCTAGGAGAAGGAGAGAACTGAAGAACAATTTTTAAAAAATATATACATGCTGTTATGTGACATTGATTATATCCTTAAGCAACCTAAAATTATCATTTTTAATTGAGCTCAGGATTTCAATTCATGTTCGCTTTTGGACTTGCCTGAAACAGGGTAGTCTAAGGTAGTAGCTGAATGGCAGATCAGTTTTAAAAGTTATTTATTATTTATTTTTGTGACTAGTACAGAATGCTGGGTATGTGAAGAGGGGAGCTGATGATGCATTTTTCAGAGAAGAGTCAAGCTTTCTAAGCACTTCATGGGGTCATTTGAAAGGAATATTTTAAAATTCTGGGGTAATTTTCAGCTATGATGAGGCAAATCTTATAATAGCTACTTAAGAGCCTCTTGTGGTACTGGAGTGTTTGTATGTTTTTCATCTTGGTAATATAGTTTAAAAACCACTTGAAATCAATTTTAGGCAATTATTTTATTAGATCAATTTCAGAGAGCAAAATAGAATAGCTTATAATGTTAAGTTTTTGGACTTTTCATTTTGTTTCTGATATTTTCTTTGAAAATGATTCCTTAATTCTTGGTAATGGGGTTGTTGACTGAGGACGGAGTAACTCTTGTAAAGTGCATAGGTTAAAGTGTTTAATTTTCTATTCTCATATAGATCAACTTAACATTTAAAAAATTGGAGTTCAGTGCAAATTTTGTGTTTTTGACAACCTTGACTTTAAGGACATTTTAGAAGAAAAAGGGTATCATTAAACATTTGTTAACAGTGCTACTGTTCTAAGGGACCCCTGTTCAAGAGAGAAATATATAAAGAAATTAAAGTCCTTGGTCTCAAAAGCTTATCATTTAGTCGTAGAGGCAGGTTATGGGACAAACTATGAAAACAATATCATGATGAATGCAAGAGTATAACTATAAGCAGAAAGCTTTGTTCAGAGGGATGAAGAATACAGGGCCTCTGAGTTGGAGAGGAAGGACTTCCTGCAGAGATGTGTTTTAAGACAGGTGTTAAAGGAGGCAGTCACTTGAATTGAGAAGCATAAAGGTTTCTAGATGGAAGGAATGAACAGAAGCACAGAGATGGTGATTTTTGTGTGGCAGTTAGATGATTTTTGTACTTACCAAGCAAATTGGTAAATCTGAGTTAAAGGGGCCTAAGTAGGATAATAAGAAGAGAGAGTTTGGGAAATGTGTTAACCATAGCTGATGGAGGGCAGAGGGGGCCTGTAAGAGTTTGGTTATCATTCAAGAGAGATTGGGATTTACTGTAGATTGGTGAACAGATATTGGAAGGTGATTTGGGCAGCTGGGTTAATGGATTACAGTAGACATTAGAGTCCTTTCAGGGAGATAGTAGGGTATGTTGTGAACATGAAGAAGTATAAAATAAAATGTAAAAATGTTATGAAAATAACACATTTGAGAGATAGTGTGAATAATGAACTGGCAGGATTTTGGATTGGATCGAAGGGGAATATCTGGGAAGGAGTCAGGAGTTAAAAATAAATTCTTATGTTGTTGGTCTGGAAGACTTGACTGCTGAGTTATATTGTCGATTGTAATGGGAAAGTTGAGAAAGTGCTGAGATGAGAAGGTAGATGAGTTCACTTTTTAAAAATTTAACGTACTATAGGTCCCCTTGAGGTTTAGCAGACAGCATTTGGTTACTGGCAATGATATTTAACTTTACAGTCTATTAACTGCACAGTTTCTAATTTTTCTTCACCTAAAAATGTTAGATTTGTTTTTGGGAGCAGTAAACTAATGGTTTTTATTTAAATGCTTTCTATTAAAGTCTTAAAAAAGAAATTTTTTATGTAGATTCAAAAACCTCACCCTTGACCCTAGTTATAGCAGTTCCATGGTAATTTATCAAAAAACAGTGGAAATGTTTTTTGGATTTAACTGTGACGTAGAAACTTTAGATATATATATTTTTTTTAATAAAGATTTTATTTATTTATTTGACAGAGAGAGGGAGAGAGAGAGAGCACAAGCAGGGGGAGATGCAGGGCTAAGGGAGAGGGAGAAGCAGGCTTCCTGGGGAGCAGGGTGCCCGACATGGGGCTCTATCCCAGGACTCTGGGATCATGACCTGAGTCAAAGGCAGACACTTAACCAACTGAGCCACCCAGGTCGCCCCAATACTAGATATTTTAAATAGCCTTTAATTTAATCTTTGGTACGTTTAAAACCTGTTTTTCATAAATAATGATTATTCTTAGGTAAACTTAAAATAATGATAGTAATAGTAATAATAGCAGTCTTTATTTGGTTTGTGGAGGCTCCAGCAGAAATTAAAAGTTGATTTTATAATAGATATTTTTTGCCTTTTTGGTTGAGTTAAGCATTCATCCCAAGTTTGTTTGTTTATTTATTTTAAAGATTTATTTAGAGAGAGGGAGAGCACGAGCAGGAGGGGCAGAGGGACAGGGAGAGAGAAACTCAAGCAGACTCCATGTTGAGGGCAGAGCCCGAAATGGGGCTCAATCTCACGACCCTGAGATCAGGACCTGAGCCCAAACCAAGAGTCAGGCGCTTAACAGATGCCTGTATATTTGTATATTTCAGGTATTTTTTTTTTTACTTACTGCGGTGAAACCAGTGTTTCTTTTTGGTTCACGTTCAGATGCAAGTGTTGTTAAGTAAATGTTAGCAGCTATACAGTTCCTCCTGTAGAATTGCATAATATTTTACTCAAAAAAGAGAAGGTAAAGGACTTTCTATGGTGATTTTGGTTAAAATATTAGTAATAAATCCTTTTGGTATACTGTTGGCAAAAATTTAGCTAATTGGCTAGGTTTAATTTTTAAATATAAGATTTAGAAAGAGGAAAGTAAATCAGTATCATTTATTTCCTCATATAAAACTTTTTACATCAATTTTTTTTTAGTGAAGAGAGAATAATTAATAGTAGTTGCATATTATTGTGCAGTGTTTAGTTATATTGTATTAAAACCAAAAACTACGTGGCAGCTTAGAGTTATTCTGTTCCCAGGGGAGTTTCATTTCCTTGTGATATCTAAAAATTAGGTTATTAGAATTTAGCCAATTTCTAGATCATCCATGTTTATGTGGATGAGAGCTCATGTATGAGGCTGAAAGCCTTACTTTCATTAAGTTTTCATTCCTTTCCCGACCACACCTTTCCAGAGTTGTTAAAACACTAATAGTTTCATATAAGAATTGCATGCTTTCTTGTTGCATGCATCTGTAGAATGCTAATTGTGAAATGATTTTAAGGCACAGGTACTAGGACAAACTTTAAGGGAACCCAGAGATTCACAAATCAATTTATGGCTGATTGGGAATGTCATTGAGAAAATGAGGTGACATTCATTTCACTGGCATAGTTCACATGAAAATCAGTTCTTGCACTCTGTGCTGTCTGCCCCTTGTTTTGGACTTCAGTTGCAGGTGTGAGATACTGTTTTGGAGAAACAGCAAGGCTGGTGAAGCCAGAGTTTTTTAAGTGTCAGCAGCAGATTCTGAGACTGGGGGAGCTCTGTTTTTGTGTGCTCTATAGAGAATGCTGTGAAACAGGCATATGCTGACCTGATGCCACAGTTTCATATTTTTTATTAAGACTCGTGGGATTGTGGGATAGGGATGGGGATGGGCAGACTGTAAGTCTGTGGTGTCTCTTGTGATGCTCCACCCTGCAATGGAGAATGGAGGGA